ATTTATTTTTATTTTTATTTTTTTTATTGGTTGTTCAAAACCTTACAAAGCTCTTGACATATCATATTTCGAACATTAGTTTCAAGTGAGTTATGAACTCCCATTTTTACCCCAACATATGACTTTCTTTAATAAGAAACTGGAAAACTTGAATTCAATTAATTCTCTTACATAATTTCATTTATAGAATTCTGCAATACTTCTTTAGTAATTCTTTAATATCACTTTGTTTCACAGCCATTTTGAATTGTAAAATATATATGTATATTTTAACAAAAACACATGACATTTAATTTTAAAATCTGTACTATTATTATTATTCAAGTAGGTCAGTCTCTGTTACATCTACTTTGAAAGTAGATACTTACCTGTGAAATATTTGCTAGAACATATTTTCGTTTTTACTACCTATTATATACAGGGAGTGTGCTTAAAGTACTGATAAGGTAATTTATTAACTGATTCATTTTTTGTTTTAAATGAACAAAATCATCTTCCAAGGTGTGAGCCAGAAATAGTGACAGTTTACCAGTTAAGGTCTTAGGCTTAGTAATCCGAAAGACTTGGGCTCTGTTTCCAGATCTGTTATGTATTGGTTCAAACTCTGAGCAAGTAATTTAATGTTTTACAGTGTCAGTTCCTTTATCCATTAAATGCAAATAGCAGTACTACCCACCTATCCCATACAGCATCCTTACAAATTGTTTAGTATCAGGTCTAGCACATTTTAGTTACTTAATAAATGTTAGAGCTATTATATAACAGATGAAGTTTTCATTTCAAAAGAATTAAAGTTTTCTATCATTCAGCATTACCTCTGGAACAATAAGGAAATTACATTTATTTATATTATATGGATGACAAAGTAGGGGACAGAGTTGTTTGAATCAGCAGACTTATAACTCAGGTGCACACAGTGAAAAAGAAGTTGATCAAACAACTTCAATAATGTAGACTATCATGCTGCTATCCTTTCTAAGAGTAGGGTTTTCTTTCACCTTTTTAAAGAAATAAAGAAGGAATGGTGCTTTGTGATACAAATTATTAAAAAAATCCAAGGATTATTATCTTGGCTGCTATAATAAAATATGACAAGTTGGGTGCTTGTCATATTTGAGCCAGGCATGGTGGCGTACACCTGTAATCCCAGCGGCTCAGGAGGCTGAGGCAGGAGGATCCCAAGTTCAAAGCCAGTCTCAGCAAAAGCAAGGCACTAAGAAACTCAGTGAGACTCTGTCTCTAAATGAAATACAAAATAGGGTTGGGGGTGTGGCTCAGTGATTGAGTGCTCCTGAGTTCAATCCCTGGTTCCCTCC